ATCCTAATCCTAATCCTAATCCTAATCCTAATCCTAATCCTAATCCTAATCCTAATCCTAATCCTAATCCTAATCCTAATCCTAATCCTAATCCTAATCCTAATCCTAATCCTAATCCTAATCCTAATCCTAATCCTAATCCTAATCCTAATCCTAATCCTAATCCTAATCCTAATCCTAATCCTAATCCTAATCCTAATCCTAATCCTAATCCTAATCCTAATCCTAATCCTAATCCTAATCCTAATCCTAATCCTAATCCTAATCCTAATCCTAATCCTAATCCTAATCCTAATCCTAATCCTAATCCTAATCCTAATCCTAATCCTAATCCTAATCCTAATCCTAATCCTAATCCTAATCCTAATCCTAATCCTAATCCTAATCCTAATCCTAATCCTAATCCTAATCCTAATCCTAATCCTAATCCTAATCCTAATCCTAATCCTAATCCTAATCCTAATCCTAATCCTAATCCTAATCCTAATCCTAATCCTAATCCTAATCCTAATCCTAATCCTAATCCTAATCCTAATCCTAATCCTAATCCTAATCCTAATCCTAATCCTAATCCTAATCCTAATCCTAATCCTAATCCTAATCCTAATCCTAATCCTAATCCTAATCCTAATCCTAATCCTAATCCTAATCCTAATCCTAATCCTAATCCTAATCCTAATCCTAATCCTAATCCTAATCCTAATCCTAATCCTAATCCTAATCCTAATCCTAATCCTAATCCTAATCCTAATCCTAATCCTAATCCTAATCCTAATCCTAATCCTAATCCTAATCCTAATCCTAATCCTAATCCTAATCCTAATCCTAATCCTAATCCTAATCCTAATCCTAATCCTAATCCTAATCCTAATCCTAATCCTAATCCTAATCCTAATCCTAATCCTAATCCTAATCCTAATCCTAATCCTAATCCTAATCCTAATCCTAATCCTAATCCTAATCCTAATCCTAATCCTAATCCTAATCCTAATCCTAATCCTAATCCTAATCCTAATCCTAATCCTAATCCTAATCCTAATCCTAATCCTAATCCTAATCCTAATCCTAATCCTAATCCTAATCCTAATCCTAATCCTAATCCTAATCCTAATCCTAATCCTAATCCTAATCCTAATCCTAATCCTAATCCTAATCCTAATCCTAATCCTAATCCTAATCCTAATCCTAATCCTAATCCTAATCCTAATCCTAATCCTAATCCTAATCCTAATCCTAATCCTAATCCTAATCCTAATCCTAATCCTAATCCTAATCCTAATCCTAATCCTAATCCTAATCCTAATCCTAATCCTAATCCTAATCCTAATCCTAATCCTAATCCTAATCCTAATCCTAATCCTAATCCTAATCCTAATCCTAATCCTAATCCTAATCCTAATCCTAATCCTAATCCTAATCCTAATCCTAATCCTAATCCTAATCCTAATCCTAATCCTAATCCTAATCCTAATCCTAATCCTAATCCTAATCCTAATCCTAATCCTAATCCTAATCCTAATCCTAATCCTAATCCTAATCCTAATCCTAATCCTAATCCTAATCCTAATCCTAATCCTAATCCTAATCCTAATCCTAATCCTAATCCTAATCCTAATCCTAATCCTAATCCTAATCCTAATCCTAATCCTAATCCTAATCCTAATCCTAATCCTAATCCTAATCCTAATCCTAATCCTAATCCTAATCCTAATCCTAATCCTAATCCTAATCCTAATCCTAATCCTAATCCTAATCCTAATCCTAATCCTAATCCTAATCCTAATCCTAATCCTAATCCTAATCCTAATCCTAATCCTAATCCTAATCCTAATCCTAATCCTAATCCTAATCCTAATCCTAATCCTAATCCTAATCCTAATCCTAATCCTAATCCTAATCCTAATCCTAATCCTAATCCTAATCCTAATCCTAATCCTAATCCTAATCCTAATCCTAATCCTAATCCTAATCCTAATCCTAATCCTAATCCTAATCTTAATCCTAATCCTAATCCTAATCTAATCTAATCGGCTATCACCGGCCGATATAAGAAAAGCACCTTTTGGCGACGTTGTCAATTACAATAAATCTGTAGGCTGGCTTTACGAGCTAGAAGGCGCCTTTAATCTTAGGAGGATGCACAATGGGCCCAAGTGCCGTGGGGGTAACCCACCCTCATACGTTACAGATGCACCTAATAATATAAGAAAGTAATATTGGTTGCCTAAATGTAAAATTTAGTCAAACTAAGGTATTGACTTACCAGGACTCTCCTCTCCTGCTCCTGCAGAGGTTATGACTCTGTAGGCTTCCCGACGTCTCAAACCTTACCTGCAAAGGTATTGACTTTATAGGTTTCCATCAATGTAAAGACAAGCTAAGCTCTTGCCATATCTTCGCCACACCATCCTGTACTATTAAGCCACGCACCGACGCACAAAATATATTTTGGGGAACAATATTTGAAGACGCAACGATTCAAAATTTAGCTAGAATCTTTTCTTGTACATGTTGTAAATATTGTTATCTGTTAGAATAAAGTTTAATTTCTAAAAAACTCTGTCTCCGACTGTCTAAAATCTACCTGCTACCCGAACAAACCTCAGGAGGGGTTACAGATACCTTAGTAAAATTTTATTTAAAATTAGAAAAAATATTGTATGTAACACGTTACGAAATGCCGTCTTATGCAACTCACTCATGTTGCGAGACCTCGCTTTGTTCGTCCCGCAAAAATTCACTCGTTGCATAAAATGAGGCATTTCGCAACTGGTTTCATAAATAGCTATTTAACTACTATAACACAACCAAAATTATTTATGTCAATTTTTCCTCACGTTTTTGATAAACTAGCCATATTACTCCGTTGCTAGGTGAAAATTCAGAAACAGACACAATCGCCATTTCGTAGTCATAAAATTATTTTTTTAAGATGTAAATGATTTCTTCAGATAGTAAAAATGAATTTCGAGGAACTCCTCCCGATATTCTAGAAAAAGCTGGTAAATACTACTAACAAGTTATTGGCCTCAAAATCAAGGATATGGTATACCAAAAGTTTATGAACTAACGTATGTAAACTCATTTTCTGAGAATGTGCTTTTGGTATATTTTGGGGGGAACAATTCAAAACTTCATCATTATGGGCGGCAGTATGTTAAGAATCGTCATTTCCGCAAAAAATAAAATGGATATTGAAACGTAGGTACCCAAAATTAAAAGCATACCTCAGATGGTTTTAAAAGCAGAATTTTTATGATGAATTAAGCAAATATTTAAATGAAGCTCTTGATTCATAATACTTATTAACAAAGATTTATTGCTAAAACAATTTTTCTTCAGTTTATTTAGTATTTACATTTGCAATTTACAATATTTTTAATTAAATGTATTTAATAAACGTTACAGATTATAAAACCCTTCTCGTTATTATGCATGTATGATTGTGACTGTAGATAGAGACTAGTACATTACTAGAGTTGTAAAAGCAATTACATGCTCTTAGAATTACTGCACACGCCGCTAACGAGGCTCGGACGCAACTTTTCTACTTGCATGTAATTAGCTTTATACTACTCGTGCTATGTAATATAGGTACTATTAAATTAAAACCTTTTGACAAACTACACATTGACGTTTTGCATAAATCATTAATATGTTACTCTGGTAATGAATTGAATTTTTTTAAGTTTTGATTGGCTTATGTTGGAATGTAAAATGATTATCATTGGTTGATCTATTATTTTGTTAAATAATTAAATAAATCAACTATATACTCGTTTATAGAACTAAAAAGTAAGGCTACTTAAAAAAACAATTTTGTTGAGTCTGATACGTATAAGCAGTAACTTCTAGGCGAATTTGCGATTGTCCAAATGCACATATTTCTCTAATTTGCCCTACGGAATAAACAGCACCAACAAAAGAGTAATTTGAATATGAACAAACCCTAATAAGCTTAGAGTAAGCTTAGCGACGCAAGGAAATTGCCTAGTACCTTTGTGGACAAATATGAGACAAGGTTAAGTGAAGATTTTCCAATTTTCCTTCAATAATTAAGAACTTGTAAGTAGTTTTAATAGTACATTAGAAAAATATTGCATGTTTATATTACATTACATAGGTACATTATGTTACGAATACAAATAGCAAACAAAACCACCAAATATAGAAAAATAAATATATTTTTACCAAATTATACATAAATACAAAAAGTTGTCTATGTAGAAACCAACATGGACCAATGAAAGTATTATCAAATTTTATAAAGTGTTTTTTCGTGAGCTTTATTTACATCACTTTTTTGTACAATTTCAAACGTTTAATATAGTGCTTTTCATGGTTATCAATCTTATCCATATTAATGACACATTTTGTCGCATCGCATATTTAATATCAAAGTACAAAAGCTTTGATTATTATTTGTTTACCTATACCCTAGCTAATTTTTATCTACTTATCAGATATAAATGGAACCATTAAAACCAAAATGCTTTTTATAGATTTAGTTTACTTCATATTCATTATAAAAGTTTTTACAGAAATAGTTTAAAATAAGCTTATGAAAACAAATATATTAATTAATTATTCTGACTAGGAATGCTTATTGTAAGTACCAAATGAATCGAAATTAGCCAATTTTGCAACTCGATACAGGGTCGGCAACATTGTTAAAATGGCATTAAACTAAATTATTGTATCGCTAGATGATCAAAAATCTAACATGGTTGCAAATTTTATTCATTTTCATTTCAATATTTAGGATCTGGACCTGAATTTGCAGCCACTTATGCCTCCGGTAAAGTAATTAATTGTTAATTGACATTATTTGATCTTAATTGGGAACCAAAATATTGACATGCTTGCAAAATCACAGTATATTCACTAATATAGTAGAAACTAGAGTTATGTCCTTTTTTGTTTTTCTCCCACTTTTATTTAGTTATTTGGTAAATTAACTGCAAATGGTATGTAATTATTTTTTTTAAATGAGAACAAACATTGTTAATTAATACAATTAATTACTTTACTAGAATTATAAGTGGCTGCAAATTCAGCTCCAGATCTTAAATATTGAAATAAAAATTATATTAAATTTGCAGCTTTGGTACATTTTTGCCCATCCAGCAATTCATTAATTTTTGCTATTTTGAGAATGCTGTCAGTCCTGTATCAAGTTGAAAAATCAATTGTTTTCGATTTATGTAGTACTTTATTTTACCATGAAGTTTAAACAATATTATAATTAATGTTAAATTTATCACCTGCTTACAATAAATTTCTAAAGTTTAAATAATATAGTGGAGCGAGCTAATACTCTATTATTGGGAAAGAAAAAAGAAGAATATGCAACAAAAGATCTAGAATAAGAAATGAGGAAATCAATAAAGATACTACTAAAACAATGGAGGACAAATCTTCCTCTAAACTAAAGCAATAGAAAGAAATGTCTAAAAAATAACTAAAGGCTAAAAATAAAATAATACTTCTTAAACTAAATACGACAAAAATCTGATTAAAATTTTAATTAATAAAGGAAACCCATATATACAGGGTCCTATAACAGTGTCGCAGTCTTTCATAGGTGGCCGTCGATAATAGTTGGGTACACAATAAAAAAAATTGGGTATAACAGGGATTTAAAGCTATCATGTAAAAACATATTCAACTATACAGTATTTCCCAACAAATTATAATCATTTTATTTGACTTTTCTTTTTAAATTGAATATACGAGATATGTCAGTGACGTTTTGAATTTCCCGCGCAGTCTCTTTAAATGCCACACCGCCATCCTCAACTGCCATTTATTAGTAGATTACTGTACAATTTTGAGCAAGCTGCGCTATTCAGTTTGTATTTGACGGCAATTAAAAGCAGATAATTTCGTAAATTTTAACGAAAATTTTAAAAATGTAATTTCGTGTGCTGATTAAGCATTATTTTTCGCTTAAAAAAAATCATCAACGAAACCAAGGAAATGCTTGATAAATACTGTGACCTCTGCACCATTAATTTCAATGGTTAAGTAGTGATGTACTGAGTTCCATTGTGGTCGTACCAGCTCAAGTGATCCCGACCATTCAGGTCGCCCAAAAGAGGTCGACACGCCAGCAATCGTCGATAAAATCCATGAAATGATATTGGAAGATCGGAGAATAAGGGTGCGTGAGATGGTTGTTGAGGCTAAAGGCATCTCACCTGAGTGGACACATCATATTTTACATGACTAGATATGAGAAAGCTATCCGCGCGATGGAAGCGCAACTGTGTGGCCACTTCAAAGAAGTGTTTGGCGATATTCAACCGAAATTCGAACGAGTTTTTGCATCGTTTCGTTACCGTAGATGAAACATGGATTCATACCGCACCAGAGACCAAGAAATAATCAACATAGTTGGTTTTTTCGGGTAAACGTACACCAAAAATGGTCAAAGGTGGGTCTATTAGCCAATAAGGTCATGGTTCAATTTTTTTGTATGCACGCATTTTCATTTACATTGATTACCTTGAAAAGGGTGAAAATATCAACGGCGAATACTATTCAGAGCTTCTGGACAGATACGATACTGATTTGAAGCAGACCACAAGCACATTTGGCGAAAAAAGTACTGATCCATCAAGACAATGCACGAGTGCGCACATGTGTAGTAACAATGGCAAAAATTCACAAATTAAGCTATGAACTGCTATATTATCCAGCATATTCTCCAGATTTAGACCCCTGAGACTATTTTCTATTTCCAAACCTGTAAGAATGGCTGGGTGGTAAGAGATTTGGGTCGAAGGAAGATGGCATCACTAAAACAAACATCTAGTTTAATGGCCCTGAGAAAATCTATTATTTGGAGGGAATAACAAAATTGCAAAAACACTGGACTAAATGTATTGAGCAAAAAAGAGATTATGTTGTGAAACAAAAAGTTTATTTGCAAAAAAATATATTTTAGTCAAACTACCCGTATAGTTTTACATTTTGAGAAGTATTTGGTGATGATTTATTCAGAGTCAAATTTTGAATTTAAGTGAGACATCATTCAGATATAAAAAACAAATTTTACACAAAGTTTAAATTTTCTTATTTAGCACCGTATATCTACTACTGAGACGTAGAGTAAATATGAATAAAAATACATCAAAGCAAAGCATTGTGCGGTTTAGTGTTACACGTTAGTTTAGTGTAATAGTATCATACCCTAAGGTATACTAGAGAGTGGAACTTTAGTTTTTAAGATTGCAACCCTAGTAGTTAAGTTAGGTTATAACAAAATTACTCATTGATCAACTCTTGATCAGATTGTAATATTATTAAACGCCCCTTATGTAGTATTTAAAAAAAAAAAAATAGCCTTTTATATCTACTACTGAGAAGTAGAGTTAATATGAATAAAAATATAAAATATCAAAAAACAACGAATTTTAGTCCAATTAATTCAGATGATGAAGAAAAATTAGTCTGCCTAAATCCCAAAATAACAATAACTGTAAAGCTACAGAATCACATGAGAAAGAAGAAGAAAGTCCTAAAAAAACAACTAGAACTCTTACAGCCATTAAGCTACCACCAGTCATTTTAAGCAATGTAAACGACTGTAATGTAGTTCATAAGAAATTAAAACCTGGAACAATACAAGTGTCATGAATAACTGATTAAAATTGATGTTAGCTCTGATGAAGAATATAAAAAATTAATAGTTCTAATAAATGGGACTGACTTCGAAATGCACATATACGAGAACAAAACTACTAAATTCCTTATATTAATGGTAAGAAATTTGCAACTGTCAACTTCTGCAGGAGATATCGCCGAATAATTAAAGGAAAGTAGTTTCAAGATTAAGGAAGTAAACGCTAGTAATTGATCATACAAAGGATATTAACAAAATTTAAAAAATTCAGCATCTAAATCTTAAGAAGGTTAAAATAGAGGCAATAAGAAATAATAAATGCATAACACAGTGTAAAAATGCCAGATACATGGACACACACATAGATTCTGCAACAGACCACATGCCTGTCTTAAGAGTATAGGTTATCACAAGACAGCTGAATGTACAAAGCCTAGGAATAATCCTGCAAAACGTATCAACTGCTCAGATGCTTATCCCGCAAATTAAAGAGAATGTAAAGAACATTTTATGGAGCTAAAATTAAAGGTGTTTTGCTTCTGAACAAAAGTCTGCATGTATTGACAATATTTGAAAAAATATTTAAAGGCCTTTTTGGCTTATGGCAAATTTTAAATTTTGATATAAAAATTTTAAGACCCTGTATCTCGGTAACTAAGCCCTTTAAGGTTTCATGTTTCTATATCAAAATTTATCAATTAACGAGAGCTCTCTGTGCTAAACCGTTGTCGGTTGAATATACTAACACTATGTAACTATTATGGAACATCAGCTATAAAACCACTATCGCAGTATACATAGTATGTCGAGAATATTTAGGATTTATGATCACCATTACCAAAAGATAACATATATCTAATAGCCAGATACATCAGAATAAGATTTTCTAAACTGTAACTCTATAGGGATTTCTGAATGTTTATGATAATTTGATTTTTATATTAAAGCAGTGGAGATCCAAAATCAAACTTTCAGTCAAATTGTTTTTAACATTTCTTAACTTACGGGCAGAGAATACACTTTGCTAAAATGAGAATAAAGCAGTGGGTGAAAGGAGTGGGATACCGTTAATAGTGATAATTAACCAGTATTACAACATAAAATGATTCAATGATAAATACTATTTCTATGATCGACTACTTAACTTAGTGCTAATGGAAAATGATTTTGATCTACTTTTGCCAATATATGTCATCCAAGCTACTCTAGTTTCATTATTAAAAACAACATAAAACAAAAACAAAATAAAACCCTGTATATTGGAAGTTACGCAAAAGAAATAGGCTAGAGAAATCTGAATCCAAGATACTGGTATTAAATTAGCGAAGACGAAAAACAACCAGGGAACTCCCAGTACAAAAAATAACAAAATTGCCAGCTGTACCTGCAGTTTATGGATGTTTTCTTTGCTTCCATGCGATTCGACGTTTTTAAAAGTAACTTCTCTCATTATCGCTATGAATACGTAAGTGTTGATGCAAACTATAATAAGAACCGGCATAAGCGTACCTAGATATAGGTAAACCCCTGTGGGGTAACAAAAATTGTATTTCTTTTGTGTATATGCACTCCTGGTTATAATATTTACGATAGTTACTGGTATAATAGCAAAACCCCAACCAAATATTACAGATTTTAGAACAATATATTCTGGCAACACAGACAAAACTCTAACAAACCTCATATACTGCAAAAAAGAATACACCAGCATCCAGCAAAATTTGGAAATAATAATGTAATGCAAAAAAATTCCTAGTACCCCACAACCTTGTGGCGCAAACAGTATTTTGGTATCCGTTGCTTGCATTAGAAGTACTTCTATAAGTATAGCTACAGATAGATTTAGTAATATAATGGTTCCCTGCTTTCTGCGCCATCTCTTGAACATAATGGCTGTCGCAAAAATACCGCTTATACCCATGACAGTTATAGCATCTCCTAAATAGAATATGAAATCCATAATACGATCATCTACAGGGCTAATTTCATTAGGTAACATTATCCGTAGCAAGGAAAAATGAGTCAGATGCGAAAACGAACAAATGTGGTAAAGACTGTTGTTTTCAAATTGGCCCAGATAGTTTCCGCCTACCGTTGACCATTTTCCTTTGGTCCTCATAGTTTTCTTCCCGTAATCCCAAAAACCACACTCAGGTTGGTCAGTGTAATTGGACACTTTAAATAAAATCGGTATGGTACTGGGTAGGTTACAACCCAATTCTGGTATAGTAATACTTATTACAGGACCAGACGGCTTCTTGGTATAGTTACTTTCAAAAAATGAATCTTTAAAATACAGTGTGGTTATAATTGTTATATTACTAGAATTTAGGTGATTGAAAATTTCTTCTGGAACTATCATTGCAATCAAGACATCGGATTCTAAACTTTCAAAAGTGGTATTTCTAGCTAGACTTTCTATCCTTAATGGCTTTCCTTCTTGTTCATATACAACCAATCCGCTTACACCGCTCAACAAAGGATTACTAATATGTATAATTAAATTATTCTTTTGTAGTAACATTACATTAGATTGCACATTAGATTCTGTTAGAATATTATCTACCAAGTCTAATAAGTCATCAGATACGTTCAACAATTCCTGAGCAGATATCAAAGACTGTTTATTAATGTTCAATAAACTATCTGTTATTTCTAAAGTACTGCTTACTCCATCAAATTTACTGTTATTCAACTGAGAATACATGTTATCCATGAATTTAGATACCATGTAAACTGATAGCACGGGTAAATCGGGATCAGCATTTATAACTGATGTGACATTAGATACAATTTCTTGGCTTATATTTTGATTTAAGGTAGATTTTATGTATTTGCTGCTATCTGGGACTTGTACATCTTGATGACACTCGCCCAACATTTTGCCCCATTCTCCTCCATATAAAAATTTTCCTTCACAAATTCTTACCACTGGTAAACCATTTTCCTGTAAACACATATCGTTCGCTACTGCTCCTTGACCTATACGAGTCAAAGGCCAGGTTAAATTGTTATCATCGGTTTCGGGTAAACAATATTCGCTACTTGTGAATGTATTCATTGAAATCTGGGTCAGATTGTCCAGCTCACTTTTAAGTTGGTAAAAATCATCCATTACGGATTGGTTGTGATTAGTGGTGATGTGGAGCAGCAGATCTATTGATTCGAAGTCAAAATGTATTATATCCATCACTCTTATTTCTGACTTTAAGTTATCTAAAGATACTTTTTTGAATACTTCATCGTATTTTATAGAATGCTCGTATGAACAAGGGAATAGTATACAAAAACTCTTAATAGTGACTCTCAAAGAAAATTCGTTACCCGTTTTTTCTTTATAAGCTAGAACTCTATTGGAGTAAACTACATTTTCTTCATTGATATCTTTGTAGGCTTCGCACCAATAGTTGCCGATATACTTATCTTCCAAGTTAATTTCGTAAACGTTATATGATAGAGTTGCTCTATATTCTATGACTATGTCAACTGTGAGTCTCTTTTTTAAATCATATTGCGCTGCATCAGTATAACAGTAAATAGTTTTTTCACTCGCTTTATCGAAAAGACTTTCTGGATTATAGATAGTAAGGGATAGCTTAATTTGATTATCATCAAAGTTTAGTACCATTTCTACTTCTTCATTGCTAATTGTTTTAAGGATATTAACAGTACATAAAGAACACTGTAGGGATTTATCAGTATAAAACCATGCTTTATCACTCAATGCTTGAGGTTTGCTTGAAACATAGGGTAAATCGCTGCTCACATAGCACTCATCTCCTTTCACTAAATCTTTTAGAACAGTCAGATCAAAAATTGTTTCTATTTTTGTCAATTTTGACGGATAGAATCCTTCCTTCTTGCAGTAACACCGTTCTGATAGTATATCAGCACTTACGCAGTTTTTGGGACACCTTTCATTTGCTTCCTTTTTATTGAAAGCGCATACATGCCTGTGTTCTTTAAAACAAAATTCTGGAAAATATTCTTCCGATGTTGTATTTATAATTAAGCATTCTTTGTTAAAAAAATCTGGATCAGCTATAGATGCAACTAGGTCCTTGTCAAAATGTTTGCCTCTATCCTCACCCCAAGAGACAGCTTCATATGGGCCGTATTTTGAAAACCGCTTGTAAGGGACCCAAACGAATTCATTTTCTAGTGTTGTATTTGCTGTAGGTTCAGTTAGGGTTTCTAAAGTGCAGATGTTGCTCCATGGACGTGGGGATGAGATGAATTGGCATGTTTTGGACGTTTCTTCAAAATTTAGGGGACATCTTCGTATCTGGCTGATATTTGAACATTTAAATCGTTCTGGCTTCCAGGACTCATTTTCGCAAATCCTGGTTACCAAATGGCCATTTTCGTTTGTACAAGGTGGTACGGATATAATTATTTCATTAGAAATATTTCGGGAGATCCAAGTGACAGAAGCATTTAAGTCAGATATGTTTGATATATCTTCTGGACACGTCTGAAATAAAAAGAAAACTTAAATTAAAAACATATACTGGATTTTTGATTCAAGTCATTTGACTTGTGACTTTTAAGTTCAAAAGATGCCGCTGAAAGATGAGTAGCTGTTAATGTATAAGCTGTGCTTTAATTTCCAAGTACCTATATAGCTATTTATTTATCAGGTAATTCGGACACATTTTTTTTTTTATTAATTGTGACAGTCATATGCCGTTGCAATAATTGTTTTTTCGCAATGTTAAACTACTTAAATTCAATTGCAAATTTGAGTGCATTTATTCATTCAAGGCGTATAATTTCCTATTTAAGGTATTAAGTAGTAAATTTAAGCAGGAAAATAATACATTTTTCACAAATATAAGGCCAAAGAATTATTTTTAGATATTTTTTGTTAGTTTTATGTTTTGTAATAGAGAAAAATAATATGTGGTATATACAATTCTGAATAAAAGGAGAGTGCAGCAAAAGTAGGGATATGACGTCACATTCCATAGGCGTATTTTGCAAAATAAGTTTCTATAATATAAATAAGGTCACGGCATATATTAAATGGTATATACGCACTTCTTAGATTAAATTTTGAATGAAAAAAGTCATATTATTTACAAAAAATAAACCTTATGCTTCTGACAAAATTGTTGCACTTTATCATTGAAAGAATTAAATTTAACCAATAAATAACAAGGATGATTATATTTTGTCTATGGGATTAAACATTTGAATCTTTTGTCATTAGAAGTAACACTTCAGTACCTAAAATCAAAAACTACAAAAAAAAGTTCAAGAACTATCTTTAAAAGTCTTCACTATAACTACTAGTATCATTGTCTTTTCTGAAGTTTATTATTATAGGGTCTAAAAAGTTTTCAATTGCTATATCCACTTTTCAAAATGAATTTTCCACTTTTTAACACGATCAATGCACTTTCTCCAATGTTCTTCATTTACATCTTTAACTGCCTCCAAAAACAAATCTCGCACATCAGGTAATTTAAATGTTTTATTGTTTCGAGAAACATAACCTTTTGTGATCAGATCATTTCAATGGGATTTAACTCGTGGTAAGAAGCCAATCTGAGAATTTCAATCTTTTTCTCGGGCCATCTCGTCTATTATATATTTTTTTAATTTGTTTTTATGTTGCCTTGCTATTAGGATTAATTCTGCCTTTAAGGATTTAGGAGGACTGATAATATTTTTATTGTGATGCCATTTTGAAATATCTTCTTTTTTCCATCTTGTTGTACTTCTTTAATCGACTGTTATTGTTTTGGATAATGCATCCTATCGCATTATCCAAAACAATAACGAAGTTGGCTGAATTTTTTTTATAATGTTCAGAAACCAATTTTCAAACATGCCATCCATTTTTTCATGTTGTTTTCTTTTATTCGAATACATCTGTAAAAAATCCATCGGTACTCCCAATGTGGGTTATTATTAAACGTTTTTCTTTTTCTCTTGGATTTATTGATCCACAAGAGACCCCTTTAATAAAGGTTTGTTTTTTGTTTTTGTTGCCAAATTTGTGTTGCTTTATGTCCAGCATTAACCCATGTTTTAGCTAAACAAAATACCTGTTTATGCTGATTCCTTGCCTTCGCTATTTTTCCTAAATAATCATGTCTCCATGGAATGATTATTTTTTTCTGTTAAAAAGCTGTTTCCGTCACGTAATTTGTAACAAAAATTTAATTCATGTACTATTTTTTCCGATGAAAATATGATATATTTGGAAGAGTCGGGCTATTTTCTATTATTGAGTGTAATTTTTTAAGTGTAGTAATTTAATTTCGAAAAAAAATGTACCATTTGCCATTATTTACCCAAGTTTCAATAAAGGTCTTGTTTCTTCCTGGAACTTTTTCGGATGTGAGACTTCTCCAATAACTGTATCTTCTTTAATAATGTTATACATTGCCCGCTTAGATACTTTAGTATAGGTCTCATATTTAGTGGCTATTTCATCCACAGAAAGTGAAACAATGTCTTTTCGAAGATTATTAAGTACGATATTTTTTTCTTTTAAATAATATAATGCTTTGTTTCCAGTAGGTCGTTTATGGGTACTTGTGCTTGCAATATTTTCTAATGCACTCGCCATTCTTATATAACTGTAAAATTAAAATATTAACTAATACAAAATTTCGAATCAAATAAAATTCATACGATACGGCTATGCATAAATAAAGACTAGATGAAGATACACTTAACCCTAAAACGCTAAATACAATTTAAAAAATTTGGCGGCAGCAGAATCAAATAAATCACAAAGAGAAACAGTTATTAAGAAACTTAAATCACATTTTTCTGAAAAACACTAGGTAATCTACTATCATGGTAGAAGGAAAGAAGAATATAAAAAATAATAATAAACAAATGGGAGGAAACAGTAAGCAACATGGGCATGGAAATAGATATTATAAAATACAAATTAATGAAAAAGATCAAAATCTCAAATGCTAGAGAAAATTGCAGTAATAGACTACTTAGAAACAAAAATTTGCAACAATAGAAAAACTCAACATAAATTTACTACAAAATTAAAAGAATATTATTCGGAAAAAAAGAAAAAATATCTACAAAACCCAGAATACAAAACGCAATAGTGGTTCCAAGACTAAAATAAGAAAGTGAAACATGGTCTATCATAACAAATCATGAAAACAAAGTAGCGACAGCCGAAAGGAAATATTTAAGGAAAATCATAAGGAAAACAAGAGATATATACAAAGTACTTACATATTAAATGGATAGCCTGTATATTATTTAAATTTTAAATAATGCTCAAAAAGATAGGTTTCAAGTTTTTGAACCTGAACGCTATTTCACTGATGATCGCTAATAAGTCCGAAACAAGGAATCTGATACCCCTAAGACCCCATTTTTGAATTTTCTTTTTGATCACATTTTACCAATAGGTATACAAGGAGTTCCGTAAAAAAAAATTAATTCTACCCACCATACAAGGTGTGATCGAAAAAAGGGTAAAATATTCCGAGGGGTGATAGTACTCATGAAAATATATTTACATGAACATGTATCCAAAAATACATATTGAGGGTCACGGTCTAGTCACGTCTAATTACCTTCATTGCCCTTTATTCTACCCTCCAAATTCCGATGCACAATAGTTTCCTAAAATCAAATGTACTTATGCCGCGTTTGAGAATCCACATCGGATGCATTTTTTACATCTCGAGCGTTTTTTTATCCACATCGGACACATCTGTCCCATTACATTTACGTATACTGAATCACGTGATCAAAGATTTTTTACATCTCAGATGCATCCGATGTGGATTCTCAAACGCAGCATTTGTAGTACCTCTGTATGGTTCATATCCTTAGAAACCTAGTATATCCCTCCTCCTTCTTTTTTTTTTTATTATTATATATTTTTGTGTTCTTGATAATTTTAGTCTAAACCGGTTGACCCCAGAACCACTCTCGAACGATCAATCTACTTGTCCTGTGTTAGTCTGTCTATTTTTTTATGATCAATATTATCTCTTAGAGGGTTTTAAGTACTTTCGGTGCCTTTGCCAATTGTCAATATTGTATTCGTTGTTTTAATAACTTAATGCATTTTTCAATTTATTCTATGTGGACGCTGTCTTCGACGTAAGTTGAACATCTATTTATATGTAAATTGTTAATTTGTAACGCCTTTTAGGATGGCTTTCTAAGCCGAAAGCGCTCAGCCTATTTTTATTAAAAATATGTTAAATTTTTACACACTCACGTACTAATTCCACGTACATTTTTTTCTTTAACCATTTTTGGGTTATCTTTAAAATTCGTAATTTGCACTTACCCTCAAATGTCTGGAATACGGTTCATTTTAGGTAAATCATGTATAGGAGAAGAATTATAGAGAATGGCATCACAAGCAACTTTTACTATGATTCCTGTACTTTTCATATCTGTATATAGAAAAGAAAGTATACATACCCTTGAGAGTATTTTATAGACAACCCCAATTGTGGTATATTTATTAACATATTTTATTTAATAAAGAATACCTTTCATCCTGTAAGCAGATTGGCGTAGGTCGACCTTACTTAGTATCTCATACTACCAATTCAGTAATTTTTTAAAACTACATATTAAGTTGGTTGTGGTGATTTGTATTTTTATATCTAGTTAGGGTTGCCAGCATAGCAGTAATACTGACTTAGAGAAACATAATTTTATTGAGGAGTACACAAAGGGCATTTTTGTTTTTTACTCTTCACATTTCATCAGCCACCTGTGGTCTGAATGGCCTAGTGTCGCCCTCACCTGCGTTTATTTTAGTTTCGCGACACGTCTCCGGATAATTTTAATCTAAACCTGGAGTCCGAAGAACGATCGCCAATCGCGGACACTCCGGGTCAAAATGACGTTGCTAGCAACCCTAGTACCGGTTCATATTTGAGACCAAATATTGCAATAATTTCGAACAGCATATATCAAAATAAAATATTCTGTATAATGATTATTTAAATTTATATAATTTTTTTAATTGTGGTATATTAAGACCTGATTCATACACATTTAAAACTATTAAACAACAAAAACCAATAAGAACAAACATTTATAACTAAAGGAAAAATGATTAACATTAGGACAAAAACTTTATATGTTTAACAATGTTTAAAATCTATCCTGTAGATTTTCCAATCACATGTGGGTTATTTATTATTTCTATTATATGAAGAATTTATTCCGACTATTTATTTCGGATAAATACACTTTAGATTTCAAGTTTCTCCAGATGTAAAAAATTTTTGACAGTAGACAAACACAATATCAACAATGATGTTCTCTGTCATTTTCATAGCCAGCCATTATTACGAATGTGGAATGAGTGAAATATGTACCATCTACTTCCGAAGGATACTGTTATGTTGGCTTTTGCCAGTATAGTGAACTGTCAGTTGTCCGCATAGCAGCGCGGTCATCTGTCACTCACTCTCGACTTCTCTTTATGGATAAAAAGACGTTTTCTAATAT